CCGCCCCGCCGCCCTCAGCGCCCCGCCCGCGCCGCGGGGACAGCGGGGACAGCGGGGACAGCCCGCGGGCCCGCACAGGGACCGCCTTCGGGCCCCGCGCCCCCGGGAGCAGCCGGGCTTCAGCCCCAGGGCTTCCCGCTGAGGTTGGGCAGAGCCGGCTGGTGAGCGCGGCAGAGGAGGGGCCGAAGCTCCGAGCAGCCAAACGCTGCTTGGCTCCGGCATCCAAACCCTGCCTGGCTCGGGCATCCAAACCCTGTCTGGCTCGGGCATCCAAACCCTGTCTGGCTCAGGCATCCAAACCCTCCTGGCTCCGGCATCCAAACCCTCCTGGCTCCGGCATCCACTGCGATTTCTGAACCGCACTACAGCCCTCCTAGAGGAGGTTCACAGCACTCCTCGAGGTTCCCAGCCCTGGGTCGGAACCGCAGCACCCGAAGGCTTCGCTTAACCCAGATCCCCGCAGGGTCAAGGAAGTCTGACCAAACCAGAATGATAAAATTATGGCCTGGGCTCTTTAGCGAAAAACGTTTGTTCTTTAAAAAGCGCACAATGGATAAAACAGAGCACGTCAGATCTTTCATTTAGGAACTGCACCTGGGAAACTGCACCTGTTGGCCTGTGAGCCTTGCCTGACCCTGTCACACCACACCCCTCTTCTTCATCACCACGCAGAACTGCATCAAGTTTAGGTTCTTCTTTTCAGTGTGGGATCAACCCAGGTCACATTGCACTGTATTTTTTCTCATGCTGTTTCTTTAATATTTTAAATAATTTAAAATCCCAGTCTAAGTGTGAATTCACTTATAAGTACCACCCAGAAAGTACAACATGTTTTAAGTCTATCAGAAAAATAAGCCGAGCACGTGAAGCAATAGCTCTTCAAATAACAACATTTGCTGCATTTATCTCTCAACCCACCTACGTGACTGTCCTTCCTGGCAGGCAACACCAACAGTTTTGGCACATGACATTGATTTCTCTGATATTCAGGCTGTGCCATAAATGTCTGGAAGCTGCAGCTAGAAAAAGAAATGTTTGCAGTTCCCTGACTTACAGAGCACGCAGCCCAAATGCTCTGTCCAGTGCCTCTGGCCCCAGGTCAGTGCCCTTCTGCTCTGAGCTGCATCAAAGGCAAGAGTTCAGGAAAGCAAATAGACAGAAAGGACAAGGACCAAAGCAGATACGTTGTTCTCCCCCTTGCACTCAGGGATCACAGCCACCAAGCACTGTGACTGTGACTTATTTACTTGTGGCCCGGGGACGGTTTTTTAGCTTTCACAGCACCTGCTGAGCATTAGATGTCCCACACACACACACCTGACCTGGTCGCTTACACCAGTTAAAGATTTACCTAATGCTATTTACACACAAAACTTGTGTTTCAGACATGAATCCAGACACATAACTTGCAGGGCTTATGCCTCGTGGTACTCCATGTTCCATGCTTTAAAATAGATCATTCCCCCAAAACACCTCTTCGAGGGTTTCATCTCCTCATGACTCCTATAAGCCCTTCTGAAACCTGTGTCAGACAAGTCACCGCCTCCTGCTCTGTGCTATTCACAAGCCTTCAGATTTCCCACAAGCAGGCAGTGCTCCGTGGAGGCGAGCAGCAGATTTATGTTAGATCCTACATATTTATAGATGTTTAAAGACAGTGTTAAGCAAATCAGTTTCATCCCACTCCTATGTGTTTTCTGCACCCCGTGTAAAATCAGCTCAAGGTAACTGAAGTGCAGCCAATAAACAAGTGCTGAGGAGCACACGAGTACAATCTGTTGGAAGGCCAAGTAAGGAAACAAAAACTTCACAAGGCTGACCTGTTTCTGAAACATCCTGTGGACTCTCATGTTATTCAGAGGAAGCAAAGCCAGCTCTTTGTAAAATTTCAACTTGCTGGGGTCGTGTAAACCTTTACAAAACCATCCAGGAGGAGCAGCAGCACCTGCAAGGTTTGCTTCACATGGTACCAAGCAGCTCCTTACGCTCAAAGAAAGCAATAAATTACCCCAATTCACAGGTCCTGTCCTCGGCTCCTGTACTTTAATTAGCTTCAGCACCCTGTGAAACAAAACCAGTTACCTCACAAGAAGGCTTTGATAAATAGGTCTCCTGCATTTGAGGGAAATGAATACAACCCAGTCAAGATTTTTAACATGAAGCCTGTGCAAGTGGTATTTATGTGGTTTTCATTTATCTTTTATGTAAGTAATGGAGCATGCTAGACAGCTTTCCACACAGTTTTGTAAGATGGGACATTTCTCATGGTAAGCAGCAGTATTTATCATATTAATACCAAAGCCACCAGTAACAGTTTAAGTATCTTTTTTAATTTTCTTACAACCACTTAAAACTGTCATATAACACAAACTTTTGTACACTATTTACAGACAAAACAAGCAAAATATCCATCCAAAATAGTTTTTAAAAAAATCCTCTGATTAAATTGTTACACCTGCTCAAACAATGGTGGGACTTAATAGGCATATTTTCTTGTGCATGTTTCTCTTCCATGTAGTATTTCAGTCTCACTGCATATATATATATTTTTTTTTAAAGTTAAAGAAAGATAAAACAACAAGCAGAAGGGACACAACACAATATGCATTTAAATCTTTGTTTAAGAACAAGCAGCTAATTAAAAAAGGCAAAATACAGGAAAAGTGCATCAGTTCCAATGAGTTAGTATAAGAAAGAGGCCCACAGGTGGGGAGCTGCTACCCTTTAGGGCAGAGTCTCCTAAAAGACCTCTGATTGTCTATAAGGATTATTTAAAATTCCTTTTAAACAGAAATAATAATTAAAAAAAAAAAATGAAAGAGGAGAGGAGAAACATGACACCTCCAGATTATTTTTTTTTTTTGCCATGAGGTTTCTTGGAAACTGGTGCTTAACAACTTTCAGAGTGGGCGAGGATTCCTCCGTGCCCGGAGCTCACTGTTCATTGCCGAGCTGTGCCTGGGTCAGGCCTGTTCCTCTCGGACTGTGCAAGGCCAGAGGGCTCCCACAGACACCGTGTTTGTGCTCAGTCAGTCAGACCTACTGCCTCTGAATTTGGTCAGTGCAACACCTGCTTGCTTCTGTGGCTTAAAGCTGAGCCAAACACTGCTGGCTTTGCACCTAACAGAGTAAAACTTTGTCTTCTCATCCAAAGTCCATTTACGCGTCTGGTGCATTTCAGATGCAACAGATGCGACCGTGGAGACCAAGTGTCATCAATCTTAATTCATTTTTGTTGTGTTTCCTACAGATTATTATTAATTTTTTTTAGAAAAACACGTAACAATAAAAGAGGCTTGTTGTCTCTGGTGTTCCCAAGTCCCATTCTAATCTCTCACCCAAAAGGCTGCCTTTGAAAACAAGGCTACACACATGTTGGGGAAGGGAGGCAGCACTCTGAACTAAGGGTTCAGCACACAATCCCTTTAAAGAGGAGCCTTCATCATACACCTGAAGTCTCCTGACCGAGCCTATGTCTTTGTGCTTAGTTACTTTTAAGTAATTTGAGCTCACAGTAGGCAGTAACCAGTCTGCCACTATGTGACAGGACTAGTTAAGGAGTAGCTTTGTACAGGATCATCGTATTTTTGGCTTTCTGGTAAGGCTACTTCATCTAGTAACAACAGATTTGGTCCAAAGGTATCCAGTCTCCAGTTTGAGCTTGATAGTTTTGAAGCCTATTCCGTTACATTCAAAAATCTCACGAGCCACTTGGCTTTTTGCAAACCATGTACCGAGTCTTTGTACTTTACACAGAAGAACGGAGTGCTCAGTCCAATTGGCTGTAAATATATTTACAATTCTGTGGACCTAGCAGCTAAATACTCCTTCCCTCCTTTAAAGCATCACTGGAATAAAGAATAAACACTAGCAAATCCCAAAGCAACAACAAAATACTGCTAAAAGTTGTGACAGAGAAAGTAATCTTAGAAACCACTCCCGAACTCTGTATGTACTGTTTCCATTAATCCCAGGAGAGACTGCAAACACTCCTGGAGTACTGTACAACACAGAAATTAATCTGCCTTTTATTTCATTCCTCAAAGAGGAACTTTCAGAAATGTTTTGAGTTAGGAAAAAAGTAGTCTTCATTCACCAAGATCAGTGCTGTACCTCTGCTCTTCTGGAAGGACTGCTTTCAGTTTAGGATGGACTGCAAGCTGCTCATGCTTTGGGGGATAATCCTACCACACGAACCTTCCATGACATTTCTGGAGGTTGAATACTTCTCTGTTACAGAATCCTTGTGCTGGTGCAGAAAGCACACCACAGTAACCAAAGAAAACCTTTCTGCCTTACAAGGCTAAGCTTAGCACAGCACAAGTGGCACCACCAGGTTTCTAAAGCTGTGGTGTGCAAACCCAAGACTGCACAATGCATATGAAAATATGACAGGTAAGAATACAAACCCTCAGTGGGTCAAGCCAAGGGTAAACTCCCTTTACCAGCCCCAGAAACAGCACACAAGGCCCAGTGGGGAGTTCATTTTCTTGTGCTGAAGATAATGGCAAGACACCACCGCCTTTCTCCTGGACTCCAGCGTTGTCGTATGTATGGTGAACGATGC